GGGGAGAGAGAGGGAGGGAAAGAGAGACAGAGAGAAAGGGGGAGAGCTAATCTTCCTTGACATTTCAGGTTCTCCTGGAGACGTTCCTGCCTGAGTTTGCGGCCGAGGGGAGGGCGGTGAACATGAACCTGGCCATCGGCGTCAGGAACCCTTCACAGGATATGGTGGATGAGCTGCAGGGGGCTGTGGGTTCAAGTGGTGAGTGGATTTCTGTTTTGTTGTCTGCTAATCAATATGTTAATACCTCAGAGGTTTTTTTAGTATGCTTATCAGAAATTAGACAGAATGGACTCAAACACAGATCATTGAAAGATTCCTTCAGTTGTCACAAAACATAAAAGATTTTTACATCTTGGCATTTGAGATCATGTAACAATTTTTGTACAAGGTAGGACCAGTAAAATGTATGTGCTCAACTGAATCAAGTATTGACATTATACAATCATGTATGTTTCTGTGGTTGCTGAAATTATCGTTTACTTTCACAGACCATGAGAATGTGGTGGTAGTGGAAATTCCTGCAGCTGCAAACAACGACCCATCAGCATCAAATCCAGACCAACCAGAGTCATCTGAAGGCAAGAGTCAAATGCAGGCTAATGATGATGCTACAAAAACTTTTAACTAGTAAATGTCCATGACATAATTTTCTTAAAACTCAATTCACATGTAATTTGTAAATCTACATGTCACTCATCAGTATGACTTAGGCATGGGAGGAACTAAGGAGCTACATGTAAGTAAGGACTTGTGAGTACTGGGTTGCAGGTCTCTTTCATCAATAAGAGTTACTGATGAGAGTCTGTTTCATTGCTTTCTAATACAGTTTTGTAGGAAGGATTTGTTGTAAAAAAAACTGTGGTCTACATGCAAATGTATAGAAGCAAAATGGTTCCCCCACTATATCTAGCTACTTGCAAGTATAAGTACTAGTACAATATACAGAATTCTGAACCTTTGTTACATAATTACAATAAGTTTAATCTTTGTGTTTTTTTTCCTTGCAGGCCTAGCAGAGGCAATGCCACAGGGGGCAGCTGCGGCAAGCATTTCAGAAGAGTTTGATGAAAAGACCCCAACTTGTCCAGTCTGCAAGAGTGTCTACGACGATCCCAGAGTCCTGCCGTGTCTTCACACCTTCTGCGCCAGGTGTCTTGAGCAATGGCGGCAGGGACAGAGCCAGTTCACCTGCCCTACATGTCGGCACAAGGTGTGGCTGCAGGGAACGAGTGTAAGTCCACACAACTTGCTGGGTAAGAGTACCGCACAACATAGCGAAGACGCTCATGCCCAGTGTCAGATGTGTGAGTCAGGGGCCAGGGTAGAAGGGTCATGTAGCGACTGTGCTTTCTTCCTCTGTAAGAACTGTATTACCATACATGGCAAAACTCGTGCACTGCAGGACCATCATATCACGGCAATTGACACTGCTACCAAATTCTGCCCAAAACACGCAGACCAGCTCCTGACATTCTACTGCCAACCCTGTACCAAGCTTGTGTGCCAAAAATGCACTGTTACTGGGCACCAACCTGGGCCTGACCACGACCCTCAAGAGGTCAGTAAGGTTTCACAAAAGTACAAGGATGAACTACAAGTGCTAATGGCAAAAACCCAAGAGACAGTTGATGAACTAAAGAAGACAGAGAGCATTGTTGGGAAAGAGCTTACTAGCATTGCAGCAAATTATGAGCTTCAGAAAGAAAAAATTGAGAAACATTTTGCACAGGTAAGGAAAAAAATGGACAAGGCTAAGCAGAACATTGTTGTTAAACTAGATAGTATGGACACAACCCTAAGGGAGCCACTGCTGAAGGTAAAGCAAAATTTGATGGGGAATCTAAAATCTAGTGAAGATGAACTTAAGTTCTGTAGAGATATCATGGCAAGAGACAATGATGTAGAGCATGTCATGCTGGGGTTGCACCTGCAAGATAACCTAAACCACATAATAAGAACAAACAAAATTTCACATGAAGGGTTAGAAGGTCAGATTTCTTTTCACGCTGACACAGAGACATTACCACCGACTCCAGGGTCTCTCTCACTGCATGATACAAGCACCATAGTCACAGAATGCCCAGTAGAAAGCCTGCCTACTACAATTATTTTCAGGCTAAAGGAGTTACTTAGTACCAGTAGTACTAGTGATAGGGCACAAGTCACAGTCATCCCACCTGGGGGGAAGGGTGTTACATGTAGATTAGGAGCTACAGAAACCTGTAAGGGGGTGTTTGAGGCAGTCTGGAGGCCACAAATATCAGGAAAGCATGAGGTGGGTGTGACAATGCCGAGAAAAACTGGCGTATTCTTTCAGAGCTTGCCTTCGAGGTGTCAACCAGTCACTGTAGATGTCGGCAGCAACAACCCTGTTCTGAGATTTGGGCAGAAGGGGAGCCAGCAGGGGCAGTTTGACACTCCTATAGATGTAGCAGTCAGGGGGAACAGGCTGTATGTCGCTGATACTGAGAACAATCGTGTTCAGGTGTTTGATCTGAGTGGGAAGTTTTGCTCCACATTTCCAACTGCATCCCCTAGATCAGTTGCAATTGAGTCTGATGGCACCATAGTGGTGGGATGTGAGAAGGAAATGGTGAAGAAATTTTCCCCATCAGGAGAAGAGCTGTACAAATTTTCTCTGGGTAAATATTGCACAAGCCCCTATGGCCTGGCAATACAGAGGGATGGGAGGGTTGTTGTAGCTGATTATAGCAAGCACAGTGTCTTCCTCTTTGAGGCAGATTGGACACCGGTGAAACAGGTGGGAGGACAGGGAAAGGGGGAGGGACAATTTGATGAGCCATATTTTGTCTGTGTGGATAAAGAAGACAACATCATTGTGGCAGATACAAACAACAACCGTGTTCAGGTGTTTGACAAGAATCTGAACTTTCGACACAAGTTTGGTCAGAATTTGAAGGGCAGGCAGCAGCCATGGGGCATGTGGGGTCCTATGGGGGTGTCAGCTGACAGCAAGGGAAACATAGTTCTGGGGAACATTGGGGAGGAATCTGATGTGGGTGGTGTAGAACATGGCAGGAAGCTTCAGGTGTTCCGCCTAGATGGCACCTGGGTGTCCACCATTAGCAGTGATGGGGACAAACTAAACTGGCCCCACGGGGTGGCTGTGACAGAGGATGGACATGTGTTTGTAGCTGATACTGATGATCATTGTATCAGAAAGTACAGATACATGTAAGGGACAAAAGTTTTCCCTTCAAAATGTCTTCATTGTTTTTTAATCTACTCCTTATTTGGTAGGTGGGGCAGCTTTGAAACCTCCATTTGTATTACATGTATAACAAATGTTTGTTTGGGAGAATTCAAAATTGCTTTACAATTCAGACTTCCTTGCTTGTATTTCTTTTGCATGTAAAACAGTACTGTTACAGTAATGGTTATACCATACCATATTTGGTTGTTTTATCCAAGAACACCATTTTCTTTGTGGCACTGAGCCAAAAAAACTAATTGCAATTGTAAACCCAAATATGATACCAGTATGTTAATCAGTACTTCTTCACTGCATGAGATTAAAATGTACAGATTTGTGAGGTTTTCTGTGATTTGTGTGTTTAGAACATTGATTGATTCATGTGATTTGTTGTAATGTCAAAAAAGAATTTATGAAGATTGGAGATTTTTATGCTTCTGAACAGTTTGGTTTGTTATAAGAACAGTAGAGTTATAAGGCTATATTTTATCACAGACAGCTAAGCTAATGCATGTACTTAGTATACATACAAATTCATGTATTCTGTAGGATTGTACTGATGGAGGCCAAAGAAAATCAGCCACCCTGAACATTAGCCAGTATATGGTAGCCTAGTATATAAATAGGATAGCACTGAGAATTTGCTTGTAAAAATGTTAAGTTTTTAGCTTTGTTTCTGAGAAAGTCAATGTGTGTTGAACACTGATTAAGATTTTTGGATAATATGAACGAAGTTCTACACTGTTAGAGAATTGAGTCTGCTTGAACTTATAAGTGATTTCCATCCTTTGTATCATGTACAGTGGTGAACCTGGAACCATATTGTGTACAAAGCTTGTAAGTATCTTGCATTACTTCATTTGCTGTGAGTACTTGTATGATCTGTATTTTCCTTTGTGCACTGAGACTGCACTGGGTTCAAGTTTTGAGTTTATCCAATAAATGCCTGTTTTGTGATGAAGAAGTGGTCCTTTGGCATTTATCAACACATACACTTTTATCACAGCTAACCTTATAACAGCAAACAGAATGCCCTGTGGTCTAGTGTAAGACACACTGTCAGTGTACATAGTAAAACTCACTCTGCTGGTCTGCTGGCTGTGTCCCTTCTGGAAGGAGCCCTCGTCATAGGATCAGCCTGAAAAATATGTTGACATTAAATGGGAACAGTACCTACATGTACAACATATAACAGGGAGAGTAAACATATTATTAGTTCCAAACTTCTGGTTGTTATATCCAGGACCATGCTTTATACAGATATATGCTCATGCATGGTTCCAGATTGGATACTGTGTATTCAGCAGTTTACTGTGCCTAGGAAAAATCTGCATTGATTTCTTGGATACGTAGAGACAATCTATCTGGAACCTTGCCTGGGGCAAATCTACATCCATTGGATACACAGAGACTATCCAGAAGACCAGAACCATGTCTCATCGTAACCGTGACCCATTCAGGGATAGAACTAGAAAGGCTACTAACACCGAGCAGATTATTATTGGAATGAGCAGAGCACTTTGGACTAATGCCTCTGACTATTTACAGCTTAGAGGTACATATCCAATCTTTTGTCACAAACCTCTCTGTTACATAGCGGATCATAATGACCCCCAGCGGGGGTCTTCACGCTTCGTTAAAAATTGAAAAATCTCAAGATTCATTCTTAAGATCTCGATATTTTAGACGAAATCTTGAGATCTTATAAGACAATCTTGAGATTGTTCATGACAATCTCCAGATCTTTCAGAAAATCTTGAGATGAAAACAAAAGGTCTCAAGATCTTTTCAAATGTTTTCAAAGTATCTTGAGATTTTTCCAAAGCATCTCAAGATGCTTTAAAAAATATCAAGATTGTTTAAAAGATCTCACGTTTTTTCAAGATTGCTTTAAAAATCTTGATATTTCTTAAAGCATCTCGAGATGCTTTGGAAAAATCTCAAGATACTTTGAAAACATTTGGAAAGATCTTGAGACCTTTTGTTTTCATCTCAAGATTTTCTGAAAGATCTGGAGATTGTCATAAAAAATCTCAATATTGTCTCATAAGATCTCAAGATTTCGTCTAAAATATTGAGATTTTTCAATTTTTAACGAAGCGTGAAGACCCCCGCTGGGGGTCATTATGATCCGCTATGTAACAGAGAAGTTTTTGACAAAAGATTGGATATGTACCTCTAAGCTGTAAATGGTCAGAGGCATTAGTCCAAAGTGCTCTGCTCATTCCAATAATAATCTGCTCGGTGTTTACTATATTATATACACATGTATGTAGGTTGCAGATTTAAGCCTGTTTCTGATACAAAGTTGCTTGCACTCCCTGTGCATGATCCTAACCCTGACACATTCAGCCATAGAACTACATGTAGATAGGCAGGGATCAGGATACAATAATGATTGAGCTTGTATGTAATAGCATTGCTATGTAGGCATCCTTCCATCTCGAAAGATGATGGTAGCACTCTAGGTCTGGTGTTGTGGCCGAGGACAGCGTTTGGTGTGGCTAATCAGCCCTATCCTCGCATGGCAGTCCCGACCACAGTTGGGACACAGGAAAGATGAGCTGTTTTGAGCATGGAGTTTCTCTTTCCGCTTCTGGCGCTTTGTGTCCAGCCGCATGTGATGTTTCACCTGTCCTCTTGCTAGGCCAACCTTGACCGCGTGCCGCCATTCACTGCGGTCTGCCGCAAGCTGCTCCCAGCTGGCTGGGTCAATGTCGGTACACTTCATGTCGCGTGCTATGTAGGTTACAGGTTATCTGTTCCTGATACACAGCTGACCCCACCTGCTGCCTGTCCTGTCCCCCTCTCCCTGCTGCCCCGCCCCTGTTGTGTCTGGGGGTCCCTCGGCCGTGCAGGATGAAGTCCATCGCAACCACAGGGTAGAATCACTTGAACTGTTGGAGTTCTGTAAAAATAAACCCCTCATTGTAAATGCATCCACTTAAGTACTGGTCCAGTGAGCAAAGTTGTGCAAAGTCAGGACATATGGTCCAGCTACATGTAGAATGCCAGGGAAGGGAATTGAAAGGGATCAAACTCTTGAAGACATCTCCATCTCACATTTCCCAACCTAATGGCTTGGCCATTGAAAGCTACACATGTAAATGGAATTTTGGTAATTGGAGATTAGATTGTAGCAGAAACTCTTTAGAGAATCAGGAGTAAAGTGGATAGACAGACTTACCTTCCAGAAACTGTTCAAGGAATGTTTCTAAGAATTTGACAGAAGACAAGCAAGCTGAAGTCAAGACTGCTGAGAAAAGCTGCACTAAGGATACACAAGAGAAAGTGGTTATCTGTTCTATACAGCATTAATATATAAGCAAAATAATGAGTCACAAGGGACAGGCAACTAACACTACAATGTAATTTGGCAAATTTAATATTGCCAGTCACCTGGGTTTCTGTAGATGATACAATACGTATGTATGTCATTATACAAAAGAAAACTTCTCAAAAGACAGGAAATGGCATATCACAAAGTCTTGTTATAAAGGGAGCAGCCTGAGGGACCCATTAGGTGATTGGAGAAGAAAAGTCCCAAAGGTTCAATCTGAAAGAAAAGTTTGTAGGGGCAGCTTAAGGGTGCAATTAGAAAATAGAAAGGTAATGATCAACCTGATTAAAGCTTATACCACACAAAATTACATATAAAAGCCATTCTAACACTAGTAACAGACTTCAGATCAATGAAACTGTGGAACAAAACATGCATCTGGGAGGTACAGTCACAATAGATAATCAGTCCCAAGTGATTGACAAAATCTGCCTTTTGTGGCAGTTATGGAAAGAAAGTTACATGATTTGAATGCACAACTTTTCGTCCAGCATCGAGACAGCACTATTCGGGCGTGTCTGGAGTAAAACTTGTGAACATGGTAAACGTTGCCATGGCATGGCTACAAGTTCATGCTGCCATGGTAACGCATAACGCTGACATGTAACTTTACAGGGATTAGCAGACGACAAAACAGACGATTTGGAGCAACAAAAACCAGCTGCAGTTGACATATAGAACAGGAATTACGCAAGCTCTACAGCATTTTAGTCAACGACAGCAGTTTCTGACAGGCAAGACGTAAATATATTGGCGAAAATTATTCAGGATAAAACATGAACAGCGCTCGCCCCCTCCCCTTCGAAGCAAATAAAAACATCATTTTCGATCGAAGAAATCACAAACTTACGAGTTACTGTTGACGAGAGCATTACAAACGATAAACTCTACTATTACCTATACATATTACGTACATACCGATTGATCTATTGCCTATTTACGATGAAAACCGCCCGAAGAGACGCTCAGAAATCGATCAAAACAGCCGCCATTTTGGAATGTCGAACACAGATGATTACATTCCGAAAAAGGGGTGTATTCCATTTTCAACCTAGATCTTGAATCACATTTTTGTTGATATAATAGGAAAAAAAACCTCAAAATTGTTTTTGAATTCAATTAATTTAAGAAAATTACGTTCAATTTGAAGTTACTTTGTAGAAAATGAGTTTTATAAAATTAGTTTGAAACTCCCCTATACTTACCGTGTATTCGCCGAACTAATTACTTTCACGCCAGGCGCATGCGCTAACGTCACCGGCGCGTTTTCCGCCATTTTCCTTCTGGTCAGAAACGCCGTGTCTTTGTTTTCACTTCTCTCTTTTCTTCCATCATTCCGACAAAACTACCGCAGCAGCCATGGCGTATAAGGGGCAGAAAGTGCAGAAGGTTATGGTGCAGCCGATCGTATCCTTTTTGAGCCGTTTGCTTGGCTGTTTGCATTGTTTTTGTTGATGGGTGAATTTGCACGTGTGCCCCCCTCCCCATGCCTAACTGTGCAACTGTGTAATGTACTGTATACTTTGTAAAGTGTAATGTTTTTTAATGTCAATATTACATGTTGCATTTTATTTTCCACGGGACCAAAGTCAATATATATTGAATTCAAATAATATTTGACTGAGGATGACATATTTGCTGGTACATATTAAGTAGTGTTTGTTCCAATGTGGTTTTCCTTAACCAGACTATTTCAGAATTTGATCTTCAGATATCTGCAAAACGTAAGTACAGTTTATTACAAAAATATCCATACTATAGAAATATCATATAAAGGTATTAAGTTAACATATAAGTATAACACATGCATTTAATGATATATGTGTTCTTTAACATGTAACCATGACAAATAAACCAATGAATATCATAATTTTGAATCTAAAACTTTTAGTAAAATCCAAAGGCAACACCTTATCGTAATATGCGAATGAACCAAACAAAAGCCTTAATACAGGTGCATGTTTTGTCCCAGGCAACAATAAGATCAGTAAGGTTAATCAACATGATTTAATGATTTGTCTCCCTCTGAACAGCGCTCCCGTATCCAGATCTGGCTGTACGAGCAGACTAACATGAGAATCGAGGGACACATCATCGTAAGTCTGTGCACTTCTGCAAACACTCACAAGCATCTGTTTTCATAATCGTTAGATCTATATTCCAGTGGAGAAAGTAGTCTAGTTCTCTTGGCCTTTTGGTCTAGTAATGATATCTAGTGCAAAAATCTTGAATGGGATGCCCATGGGCTATGGCTAATTAGTAATACATTTCGTACTTACAATCAGGTACTGAGGTAGTGGTAAATTGCAGCTATATATGGGTGTTGTTGTCTGTGTTAAGCCTCTTACACTTTTGTCCCCACCCCAGGGTTTTGATGAGTACATGAACCTGGTGCTGGATGATGCTGAGGAGATTCACCTCAAAACCAAGAACAGGAAGCCGCTGGGTAAGGAACCTGCCTAAATGCTTAGGCCAGAACTCAACGGGTGGCCCCTTGCTCCTCTTCATTTTATCCCGCCAGGCAGCATGGTCCTTAGCCTTTTGAGGAAACTCTTTTCTGTCTTATGTTTTGTAACCCTATGTTCTCTTTCTTAAATCCATCATCACTTACCGGTTTTGTCTTCTTTCTGATTGCCATTCTTGTATCTCTTCTTGTTACTATCTGGTGTTCATCTCTTTAAGTCTTAAACTCTGAACCAACTTCAAGTTCAGCCCACGGACTAAATGCAGTATAAAGCATGCTAGAGAGCACTGTACCTGTGAATAAGTCTATGTGTGCTGAATACTTGTATCTGTAATTATTTTGGTACAGATCCGGACCTGAATATATGTTGTACCTACAATTCATTTCATTTATTTCGAAACCTATCAATAAAAGACTACAATGTAGTTTTCCATGTAGTCACAATCCATATGAAATCTAATCATTGCTGATTATGTATGTATCAAACAGGTTAACAAAAAAAAATGTTATTGTTTTTTCAGGTCGGATTCTTCTGAAGGGAGACAACATCACCTTGATACAGAGTGTGAACTCTTAGTGTGTAAACCTTCCCTCTAACCATTGTCATAGACTAGCCTGTACATCCTCTATACTCAGTATATATTGCAATCTTGTGTTATGTACTTTGAACAGTATATCATTTCTAGTGTATGGAGTACTTTTGTGTTAGCTTGGATGTATTGAAGATATCAAGAAAAAAATCCTCGGTAAATTTTATTTTCTGAAGAAGAAATTCAGTTGTAGTTCCATTGTATTTTCTTTGTGGGTGAACCCAACCTGTTATAAGAAATATACAGGTCAGATGCTTTCAAGGTTTCTTTATTCCCAAGTCAATAGCGAGATACAAAACTGATCTGTACTAGACACTATCAAGGTACTGTAGTTACTGCTAATACAGGGAGGAAAAGTGAACTGAGGTTTGCCTATAGCCTCAGCAATGTGGCATAAGGACCACATTGGTGACTCATTGATTGTTTGACAAGTTGGGGTAAGCAGGAAGTATGGTTCGAAAAGCCAGACCAGACTTTTTTGGTCAGTTTCAGTAAGGCCAGAAAGTATAGTACACGAGACCACTATTGCTGTATCAAGAACAATGTGAAGTTTTTTGTCGCAATTACTTGTACTTGTAAACTGAACATTGATTTGACCTATTTTGAAAGCACAGACATTGTGGCCCCATTGTGACTTACCACAGAAAGGCATTGTGTTGCATTGTAAGAATCGGCATTACACTAAAGCAAGGTGTCGTTCTATTGTCCGTACTTCAGTTTCATAGCATCATTCAAGGCCTGCTAACATATCTGATGTCTGTGCTTCTGACTCAGTTTTTTTATCAATGGTTTATTCTGGAAAAGTTTTCACCTTCACTGCTTTGTCTAACTCACCCTCCCCTCCATGGTCAATGTTGAGAAGGGAAACCGGAGTTTTTCTACACAATAAAACACCTATTTGGTGAATACTGGTTGTATTTTTTTAATCTAGAAGTTGAGCAGTTGAATACAATTTATCATTTATTTTACCAGGAATGTTAAGAACATACCACCACCTTTCTTCAATACAATGTGAGAATGAAAATGTAGTCTTTGTGCAGATATTTTAGTGTAAATCTAACTGCCAGCTTCTGTATTTGTATAGCCAAAACCTGATAGACTTGTTACACCTAACCCTTGAACATCTATCGCTAGACATTGTTTAAAGCTATCTAATGACAATGCCCCTACTGCACTTGGTGACAGGGAGTTCCACTCTGTGATACTTCTAGGAAAGAATGAATTTTTGAACACCTCAATCCTTGGTTGATAACTCTGGTACTTGAAGGCATGGCTATTTCTTGTTCTCTTCTGGGCTGGTATTTGGTTCTTAGTAGTTGGGACGTCCACCAGTTTATTAGTCATTTTGTACATCATGCATAGTCTGGACATTTTTCTTCTGTCTTCCAGTGACACCCACTGTAGGTTTCATTTCCTTGACACTAGAACCCCTTTGATAGTTGTTCATACAGAATCTTGCATGCTGATTCTGTACCCTTTCCAGTTTATCTTTGTCTTCCCTTGTATATGGATCCCATACTGTCAGGGCATATTCTAGGTTCGGTCTTACAAGTGATGTTCTTTGAGGTGACCTTGATGTGACATGATCTTTCCAACACAATCGAAGCTCAACAAATTTAGCCAACTACTTGAGTCATCACAATGGCATGTGTATCTGTATCTGTATAGCCGGTATAACCGCCTTTCGGCGTAACACACCAGCTTCGCAGGCACGCGGCGCGGCGGCAGCTGGCTATATTACACCAATCGACTTGTTACACCAAACCCTTGAACATCTATCGCTAGACATTGTTTAAAGCTATCTAATGACAATGCCCCTACTGCACTTGGTGACAGGGAGTTCCACTCTGTGATACTTCTAGGAAAGAATGAATTCTTAAACACTTCAATCCTTGGTTGATAACTCTGGTACTTGAAGGCATGGCTATTTCTTGTTCTCTTCTGGGCTGGTATTAGGTTCTTAGTAGTTGGGACATCCACCAGTTTATTAGTCATTTTGTACATCATGCATAGTCTGGACATCTTTCTTCTGTCTTCCAGTGACACCCACTGTAGGTTTCATTTCCTTGACACTAGCACCTCTTACATAGTTGTTCATACAGAATCTTGCAGCTTGATTCTGTACCCTTTCCAGTTTATCTTTGTCTTCCCTTGTATATGGATCCCATACTGTCAGGGCATATTCTAGGTTCGGTCTTACAAGTGATGTTCTTTGAGGTGACCTTGATGTGACATGATCTTTCCAACACAATCGAAGCTCAACAAATTTAGCCAACTACTTGAGTCATCACAATGGCATGTGACATGACAGTGGATCATAATATCTAACAAAGAGCTGATTGCCCAAATTTGGAAAATAGTCTACCACGATAAGTCCTTTTTTTCAACTTTTCTTGACTAGACATGGTGATGGCAAACTCAAGTTATATCAACTTATTTTATGCCGTCACCAACGCAGATAGAGGGCAGAACAAGACAATACTTATTTTCACCAGAGTTAAGTGAGGAAAGTCGTGTAAAGTGCCTTTCCCAAGGGCACAAGATCGGTGGCATATCAGGCCTCGAACCCGGGACCTCTTGGTTCCGAGTCGAGCACTCTGCCGATACGCCACACGACCCCACCTTAAGTATTTAGGCCACAGGAAGTAAATTTTATGGATGACATTTGTAGATTCCAAATCTAATAGGAGCGGGCGAAAAAAATACAAGGCGCGCAAAAGAAAAACAAACTTAATACATTTTTAAATTTTAACATCATAAACCTTGTTAAACAAACCTTTCATCACTGCAAAATTAAATCCGAGCCTTGTCTCCTCTCTTCATATTTATCTGCCATCCACATTCCGGCATCGCAATGAAAATCTTTGCCCATTTTCAGCATGTTGACCACTGTCAGGGCAACAAAATTTCTTTTTTTTTTTGTGCTCAAAATCAGGCTAAAAATTAATGCGCACGCTGATGTCATCCATGAAAATTACTTGTGGTCTTAGTATGCCCGACTTCAATTTTGTTTCCTGACTGTCTTCCCGAAAAAATATTCAAATGCACCTCTGCATACCTTGAAAAACCAGAAGCATTGCAAAATGTGCATGATGGGTGATAGAACGAACGTCGCGACCTTCATACCGAAGGTCACCTCAGAGAAGGCCTCTGATTGGACGAGGGGGATCATGTGATACCAAAATAACGGAATTGGCGCCACGTTGGTTAGGAATGTCACCAATGTTAAGGCGAGTCCATTCAGTACGTAGATGAGGGACGTTTTCTGACCCAGCTCCTTCAGGATTACACTGAAATACAATTTACCCATTTACTATCATGAAAGTTCATCTGTGTTAGTAGTTACATGTTTAGAGTTAAAAGTTTTGGTCCAACACAAAAAAGTTCTCTCACCTAGAGCTTTCGACCAGTATACATGTACTCTGGTCTTCCTCAGTAGACTGACCCAGTGAAGCTTGTCACGTGGCTTCTTGGAAGTGTGACGTCAACACTGGGTCAAAGGTATCTGGTAGACGACGTCTACTGAGGAAGATCAGAGTGACTGGTCGAAAGCTCTAGGTGAGAGAACTTTTTTTTGTGTGTGTTGGACCAAAAGTTTTAACTCTAAACAATTTACCCATTTGTAAAACGACCGAGTTTACTTACATGTCTAAAATGTAGAAAAAATGACGTTATAGATGATTAAAAAAATCACTTGTTGTCATCTCCTTTCCACCAGTAATCATCATACAATAGAAAAACTATGTGAATTTATCTCCCGCTTTAAAAAGAGGGATTAGTTTATTCTCTAGTGGTTGTTAAGACTTTTACGTCATTCTGTTATCCTTGTTAGCCTCTACCAGGCTTGGGGCGAAATGTTCTCTCAACGGACAAACTCCCTTGGCATGCTTATCCCTCTATTTGGCCGATTTCTACTCTTTCCAGCCGCCTCAGCTCCCCAAGCCTGGTAGAGGCTAATCCTTGTACCCTTTGTATTATGTTACTCAGTATGATGTACATGTAACATCACGCTCTGATGTATGCATTTAGCCCCATGGGCATGAACATGCAATTAAAGATTCAATTAAATAGGTCTACCAGCACGAGGCTGTGAAGGGGTTTTACACTTACCGAAGGCAATTGAAGATGTTGGGTAACTCCATTAGGGTCCACAGCACCTGGTAGTAGGGCAGGTCAGCTGAAGCCTGAAGGGGGGAAATTAGATTCAAACTAGAGAAGAATCATTTCCAAAGCAAATGCATAATGTTTACCTTCGGACATGGTCTGCCCTGTTAATTCTTACTCAAACACATTCACATACATGTACTACGAGTATATGGTTACAGGAGTAGAGCAGACCATGAAATTGCAACATTATGTAACCCAACACCAATCACCATAGTGACAGACGTCAACAAATCATGTCATTGGCCAGGTCAGAGGTCACTGAAGAAGAAGAGGAGGAAACTGGGCAAAAACAATATGTTTTCCTTCGGTAAACATGAAAATTAAAGTGTTTACGACTGAGATAAAATGGCTTCTTCGAATCAAGTTGGTTGCCATAGAGACTGTGACGTATACGTACGGCGGATGAGTGTCCGGCGTAAAGGGTGAGCACGTGATGCAGGAACATGGACCAATCGCAGACGTCCGAAGCCGGGTTGGCGGCACGAATTCCGAAGTCTAATTCCACACACACAAAAAAAAAATAGTTAGGCCACACTAAGTAATTTTTATGGATTAAATAATTTTCGCCTGATTTTGGAGAAAAAAAGAAGAAATTTTGTTGCCTTCTTTTTTTTTTTTTACTTTGATGCAGTGATATGTGATGCTGGCTGTGTATATGTGATGCTCTCACTGAATCAAATCGAAATTTGAAAATGTAGGAACCTTGTTTTTTTCGGCCCGCCTTGATTTCTTTTCGACCGCTCGCATTATATTTGGAGTCTGCGGAGGATGTCATCCATAAAATTTACTTGCTGTGGCCTTATTACTCGATTTGCGAAGATGCTTTCATCAAGTTATTTGAACAAAAACATTACTTAGCTCACAACAAAAGTATTAAGATAAGTATAAACTAAAGTAAATACATGTAACTTAAGTGTACAACACTAAAGTATATTGCTTTAAACTAAAGCATTTGACTCTAAACTAGATAACTATAAACGAAGGTAAATGATTATAAACTTAAGTATATAACTACAAATAAAAGTACATAACTACAAACCAATAAAGTATATACCACACCTGCAATTAGGTATCCCAACAGTATACAGACAGCCAGTTTCAGTAATGGCACTTCTTGCCTGGACAGAAATAAAAGTGCCTAGCTGTCATTGAAATATTGTAAATCGTTTATTTGGGGTCAAAGATGTATATAAAGCGGATATCAATTTGCTCCGTCCTCAATAGATACATTTGCTTAAATCTCTTCAACGTATGGAATAAAATAAACCAATGAGTGCTGACCTGATGACGTCAGGCGCGATGACGTCAGAGAACAAGAAGAGGTAGAGGCCAATGAAGCCGACCAACGGGCTGATAAACAGGGACATCAGGCTGCAGAAATATTGTTTATTTGTTTATTTATTTATTTACCACAAGAAGCACAATTTGAAGGGAGGGCAAAACGGGTGTATGAACACTTTTTTTTTAATTCCAACGTGTAATCACCAGACGTGGTGACAGCACACTCAAGTTTTTTCAACTTATATTGATGCCGTCACCAACACAGGGGACATGACAATACTCATTTTCACCTGAGCGAAGTGAGGAAAGTCGTGTAAAGGGCCTTTCCCAAGGGCACAAGATCGGTGGCATGTCAGGACTCGAACTCGGGACTTCTTGTTCCCGAGTCGACCACTGGTGTAAGATTTCTCTCCGCCTCTCAGGCTAGGCGTCGCAAAACATGTTACCCTGTACTGTATGATAAAATGTCACCTAACACGTCACAATGTACAATTGTTTCCGTTATGCAATTATACTGTTAACCTGGCTAGTCTTTGTCGTTATTGAGCACCAGGTATTTCTGCTTCAAGCTCAAAAGAGCAGATCGCTTGTGAGATATCAGCACACAGTATACAATGTACATTTTGTACGGTTGAGTAGAGTCAAACCGTACGTTAAGTTTGTACCCATAATATTACAGTAGTCTGTTCCAATGACCCAACATCGTGACCCCATCGGCGCCATCTTAAATCGCTCGGCCGGAAAAACACAACGTAAACAGGTCGATCTCTCCATAAATCCCCGCAAGTTTTCAATAAAAAACGATGTAGACACACTTTTAAAAATAATGCGGTCGTCATGGGAAGAGTTTTGGTCGCGCGTGGTCCCGACTCGAGCCGCTCGCGTCAGGCAGGCGGTCGACTTGGGCAGAGCGCTAATGCTTGAGCCTATGGGAAATATTTTCGGGACGGGGAAAACGGGTCTATTTGGCCAGTTGGTCGTCTTGACAAGGTGGTCGCCTCTTACGTACTTCATATCAACGTCTTTAACTGAAGTAGTCCTACTTACAACGACATTTCGGCAGCAATGCGCCTGGAGCTTTTTTTCTTATTATTTTTTTTATACCAACATTTCTAGACATGTTGACGGTACGATCTACCATACACAATCAGACGAACAACTCGCAGCAGACCCTCCCCTTGAGAACATGCCCTCCAGTGACAGTGACCGGCAGAACTTACGCGCTGCGCTTACTTGGCCTCTGGCCATGTCAGGCGTTGCACCCCCCCCCCCCACACACCCCCCGTTCACAAATTTCTGGATTCGCGGATGACTTTGGTAGAGACTAAGGTTACATTTTGTGGAGTTTTGTGTGGTGTTACTAGCATTGCATTTGGCTCAGAACCAAGAGATCCCGGGTTCGAGTCCCGCGAAGTCCCAGACTTATAATTATGCCCTTCGGGAAAAGGCACTTCGACATACTTAAGGCAGATTAGCCGGAAAGGCCTGGGGGTCGTCACTCCACCCGCCGTAGGTCTCCTTAGTAGCCTTGTTGACGACTGTAAATTTTATCTTAATCACAACATCAGATTCGAGTCTCACGTACTGAAATATCTTAGAGACTTAGCAAGAGACAAACGAAGATGGATTGAACTGTACAGAGACATACATTGATTTGGTCTGTCAATTGTAGTCTGCTAATTTACAGCCAAGAACATAAAAGGCACTTAACGCAACTTTCCTCCCCTCAGTCAGGTGAAAATGAGTATGCCAGAATGATCATTATCACGATCGTGGGCATTAAAGGTTACCTGCATGCTCTTTTTCATAAGGCGTAATCAGGCCTTTTTAGTCTTCGTAAACCTGGCCTTAGGCAGCCTTCCCAAAAATCAGCGTAATTCGTAATCAGAACATTAGCCGCAAAGCGTAAAGTTGTAATCAGCAGGAAAACATGCCCTTAATTTATAATCGGTAGCGAAAAATTTGCGTAATTCGTAATCACTACCCCCAGTACAGGCCCTCTCACTTCACTCAGGTGAAAATGAGTATGCCAGAATGATCATTATCACGATCGTGGACACTAATTAAAGGAAAACCAAACCAAATTTTACCTTTCTTTCACGCACACTTTTTTCACATCCGGAAGCGAGTTGTACTTCTTAGAGACCCTCCCTAATGCGGCAGGGATCACAAACTTGTACAGTGACAAGAAAAATGCGAGACTTGCGGTGATGCAAATCAGGTCGCCAGAGTTGAGCGCCATACTGTATTCGGTCGGCCTCACCTCAGTAGTATACCTAGTAGTAGGGTGAGAAAGTGTAGCCGAAACACGCCACTTTTTCTAGCCTCCTGTACAGGCCCCGCGGCGGGTGGGAAAGAGTTTTTAACGCGTTATTGTAACAGCCAGCCATCCTACAACCAGCCGCCGGGAGAAGTTTCCATTCAGAAATCCCGTGGGTTGAATGGAACCTTCTCCCAGTGGCTGGTTGTAGGATGCCCGGCTATTAAAATAACGCGTTAAAAACTCTTTCCCACCCGCCGCGGGGCCTGCACAGGAGGCTACAAAAAGTGGCGTGTTTCGGACGACGCTATAGGACGGTGCAGGTCACGTGATTACGTGACGTGAGTACGTCACTGATTTATGCCATGATAACAATCACAACAATAACCAAAGGAAAGCTGTACGTCATAGGACGGACTTTGCCTAGACATGCTTATCACTCACTCACTCGCGATCACTCACTCACTCACTCACTCACTCACTCACTCACTCACTCACTCACTCACTCACTCCATTACTCCATTACTTACTCACTTTAGGAAAAACAACATACTCTGGATAAAACCTATAATCACATTGTTATTTACTTTCAATTAGACTAATTCGCTAATTACCTGTCACTAATTCGCTGACTCCTTGTCACGTCATATGAACTTAGTCTCCAACAGACTCCTTTTGCAGGCTGAATAAAACGTAGGAATTTGGTCTAAAAAGGGTATTAATTGGCCAGAGAAGGTAGCCAGCCATCGACGATCGACATGTTGGAATATAAGAAAAAAATGGTTAACACGTGCACAGCGCTCCGTCGCCACGGCCCTGTTACTTCACATGTTATCGCATTATATGTCGTGTTCAAGACTTTGAGGTGAGACAAAAGTCCTCAATGGCCAATTTTTTTATGAAAAACGCGCAACGGTTTAAACTTGCTCTCAAGTGACGCGCTATACCGTAAACCGTTTTATGCCTCATTTTGGCTGTTGACACCATACTTCTGCAAACTGACTTCTGACTCTGGTCCTGGCTTTTGTAGATAAACAGTGAATTGCACTCGAGTTAGACGAGGTTAAAGTTGGTGATAATTTCTCGAGAGCGAGAGAGTTGCGCAGAACCGATGCGCATAGAGGTCTGCGGTTCGACTGGTGAAGAACAAAGACACGAGAACAGGGCGACATGGAAAGCGCGTCGAAGCTTCGCTGTTCTGCCGTTCTTCTAATAGTTTTCCTGTGTTTTATCTCTATCCACTCTTGTAACTCAGAGAAGGTTCTTCTTGTGCCGGCACCATTTGCCGACAGTCATTGGATGGCTCTGGCCCACATCGGTCGTGCTTTGGTAGACAAAGGTCATACCGTCGCTGTAGTTGTTTCAGAGGACATCGTGGGAAAACGACGAGCGGAGTGGCCTGACTTTCAGTTTGAGGCGTTCCAAGACCAGGGAATCCAAGCAAGGTTCAAGACACTACAAGACAACGCTCATTTAGTGGCTAGGAAATTATCTCTCTATGAAATTAGAGAACTATTCGCCTCTGGTTATGACTATTATAGAAACTACTGCGCCCTTCTTCTGGGGAACAGTAACTTGCTTGCCCGCCTAAGGGCCTCCCGGTTCAGTGTGGTTGTTGCCGACCCCCAGTCCCCTTGCGGCGCTATCCTGGCATCTAAAATTGACTCCCGTGTTCCCCTCGTCGCTGTTATGCGCGTGGATCAATTTTTTGCCGAAAAAGTTACCGGCGTTCCACTCCCTATGTCATACGTGCCTTTTCTAGGTTCGGACTTTACCGATGACATGAGCTTTGTACAGCGACTTCAGAACACGGTCATGCACACTGTCCTACCCGTGATAGCACGCTGGGGGGCGAGTAGCCTCCTTGACGAACTGGTCCGGAAGCACATAGGCGAGAATGAAACTCTTGAAAGCGTGATGACACGTACGGACTTGTGGCTTTATCAAACCGACAATGTGCTGGATTTTCCTCGCCCCAGTATGCCCAACACGGTTCAGGTTGGGGGACTGTTTGTCCAAGAGGCAGCCCCACTGACTGAGGTGAGTTCTTATACACATAGCTACACGCGAGTCGCGGATATCTGATAGGGATTGGCGTTGATCAAACTCAAAAGGGATTGACCTAGGTCTTTTCACTATTCGTCTTGTATATTTGACAAAACTTAAAAAAAGACTAGAGAAGTAACATTTGCAAAGCAAATGCATAATGTTTACCTTCGGACATGGTCTTCTCTGTTAATTCTTACCCAAACACATTCACATACATGTACTATTAGTATATGAGCACAGCAGACCATGGAATTGCAACGTTATGTAACCCAACACCAGTCACCATGGTGACAGCCGTCAGCAAATCATGTCATTGGTCAGGTCAGAGGTCACTGTTTGGAGAAGAAGAAGAAGTGGAAGAAACTGAGCAAAAACGATGTTTTCCTTCGGTAAACATAATGAGAGTGGACTTGGTCCGGGCAACTCGTCCGACCTGAGCATGATGAAAAAAGATTTTTTTTAGCTCTCTCTTTTAAAAAGGTAATTCACCATCGATTGATGAACATATAATGTGTAACTGTAAGGCGTTAACGAAAGCTCTTCAAGCAGAGGTTGTGGTGGAATGGCCGTTTTTTTTGTCACTACCCGTCGGTGGCCGGCGACCTTCTCTGGCTAATGGATACTGCTTGGCCAATTTGATACTGTCTTCTTGTCACCGAAAGGGATCTGCTTTGAGATTAGTTAATTAACGAAAACTCACAATTGGTGTTCTATCATTTTCAAGGACATGGAAGCGTTTGTCCAGAGTTCCGGAGACGATGGAGTGATTGTCGTCAGTTTCGGGTCCATGGTAAAGATGATGCCGGAAGAGAAGAGAGAAATCTTCGCGGCAGCCCTCGCCCGACTCCGGCAGAAGGTGGTGTGGCGTTACGTCGGAGAGAAGCCGGCCGGGCTGGGTAGCAACACCAAGCTGATGGGCTGGCTGCCTCAGAATGATCTTCTGGGTAAGATTGGAAGATGATAATATAGAAAGTTTATTGCAAATTCATGCCCGAGGGCACTGAGGGCTAATTGCAAGAACATGATAACAACAATAAACAGTAAAAATTATAATAAGTAATACTGATGCTACTTTAGATGTACATTTGTAATTATTGTCGGGTTTGATTTCTTTTCCGTGTGCAGTGGAGTATGAAATCACTCACTCACTCACTCACTCACCCACGTGCACCCACTCACTCACTCACCCACGTGCACCCACCCACACACTCACTCACTCACCCACTCACCCACGTGCACCCACTCACTCACCCACCCACTTACTCACTCACCCACCCACTCACCCACCCACTCCCTTCCTCACTCTCACTCACTCACTCACTCACTCACTCACTCACTCACTCACTCACTCACTCACTCACTCACTCACCCATTCGCTCACCAAGCGTAAATTAAAAATCTTTGTTGCAGCCCACCCAAAGACCCGAGCCTTCGTCACCCACGCCGGTTCGAACGGGCTGTACGAGGCCCTGCACCACGGCGTGCCCATGGTCTGCCTGCCGCTATTCGCTGACCAGCCCGCCAACGCCGCCCGGGTGGTGGCCAGGGGGCTGGGGGTGACGCTGGACTTCAGCACGGTCACCGCAGACCAGCTGTACCAGGCCATTCTACATGTTCTCACCAACAACAGGTACTGCTATCATGGAAGTTCATCTGTGTTTAGAGTTAAAACTTTTGATCCAACATAAAAAGTTCTCTCACCTAGAGCTTTCGACCAGTCACTCTGGTCTTCCTTAATAGACTGACCCAGTGAGGAAGACCAGAGTAATTGGTTTAGAGTTAAAACTAAAGATCCAACACAAAACGTTCTCTCACCTAGAGCTTTCGACCAGTCACTCTGGTCTTCCTCAGTACACTGACTCGGTGAGGAAGACCAGAGTGACTGGTTTAGAGTTAAAACTTAAGATCCAACACAAAAAGTTCTCAAACCTAGAGCTTTCGACCAGTCACTCTGGTCTTCCTCAGTAGACTGACCCAGCGAGGAAGACCAGAGTGACTGGTCGAAAGCTCTAGGTGAGGGAACTTTTTGTGTTGGATTTTTAAAGTTTTAACTCTAAACAGCTTCTCCAGCTTCCCTCTCCGAGACGCAATCGGGTATTCTGTCTTTTGATAAAAAATTACTAGTTAAGTTTTCTAAAGGACTCGAAATTCAAAATTTTAGATGCCCTAGCCTGAAAGATGAAATACTGCCAAATTTTGCTCAATGTTGTTTCGTCTTTATGGAGAGATTTGGACCATTTTCTATCCTTCGCAGCTACCGTGAGACGGCCGCCCGGTTGTCCCGTCTGCACCGTGACCAGCCCCAGTCACCCATGGAGCGGGCCGTCTGGTGGATAGAACACGTCATCCAACATGGCCGGCTGCCCCATCTCCGCGCACGCGCCGTGGAGCTGCCGTGGTACCAGTACTACCTGCTGGACGTGGCTGCGTTCCTGCTGTCCGTCTGTTCAGCTGTCCTGGGGACCGTGTGGTGCGGCTGTTCGCTCGTCTGTAGGAAGTGTTGTGGTTGTGCTAAACGTAGCGGCAAGCTCAAGTCTCAATAGGAACGTAGAACATTTACTAGTCCAAATACTACATTGTGTTAATGGGTCTAAATTCTACTTCTAGCTCTGCTTGGCAGGTGTGTTTCCGCCAATGAGATGTAGGAGGTTAACACGTAATCTTAATTTTCAAATAAATTTGTTAGTATTAGCATTTTTAATGTCTTGGGGTGGTGGGACTACGGCGTACAGATATGTCAACTTTGTGTATTCAAATGTTAATCGTACTTGTTTGTTGTGTGGCGCTGTTAATATAAGTTATAAGCTTGACTGCAGCGCCACACTGTCCTTGTTATGCTTTGATGTCTTGATGAATAAAAAAAACAACATTAGAACAGAACGCATGTTCGATTTACATGTAGTATCACCAGCGTCTGTTCAAGGGCAATAGTCTCTGCTAGTCTCAATAGGCACCTAAGTAAATATGCAAATAGCGCTAGGGGATAAGACGATTTATTAATTACACGTATCGGATTCTCTGAAGAACTGTATAAATGTTTTTGGCGGTCATTAGAACTTGGGGATAAGATGATTTATCAATTAAACGTAAGGGATTCTCTGAATAACTCGTTTCATTTTCTTTTTTTATTACAACATTTAATAACAAAAGAGAAAAGATGGCGACATACTCAAGCCGAAGCTTATGCTTTCTCAACATGGGTTACTACCTGGGTGTACATGTGGTGTGTGGGCCGCCTCATGGGTTACGAACTGGCTACCATCATGGGTGCTAAACCAACACAGATCACACACATACAGCTTATTCTGACTATGGTCTTAAACGGTCTAGAGTTTTCTAACATGGGTTACTCGTTGGGTGTACATGTGGTACATGGGTTGCCTCATGGGCTATGAACTGGCTCCCATCCTGGGTGCTGAACCCACACAAATCACACACATACAGCTTATTCTGACTATGAGTCTTAACGGTAAAGTGTCTGCTCAGTCTTGACATATTTTCTAACATGGGTTACTACTAGCTGGGTGTACATTTTGTACATGTGGTACGTGGGTTGCTTCATGGGCTATGAACTGGCACCCCATCCTGGGTGCTGAACCCACACAGATCACAAACATACAGCTTATTCTGACTGTGAGTCTTAAAATGTCTCGTCAGCCTGGACTTGTCGATCGCCCTGTAGCCACACTCCGAGCAAACGAAGGGTCGTTCGCCATTATGTACAGCCATGTGTCTGTCCAGGGTGCCTTTCTGCGATGCAGAATAGTCGCAGTCTGGGCATTTGAAGGGTTTTTCCCCCGTATGAGTTCTGAGGTGCCGGGTTAGGACTGAGGACCAGGTGGTGGCGTAGTTGCAGTGGGGACACCTGTGGAGCTTGCGGGTACTGCAGCTTGCTTCTGGCATCTGGACAAAAAGGGATTGAAACAAATAATTTTCAATTTATTGTAGAATAACAATCAAACCATTGGTAGCCAGCAATTATTATTGTGCATGAGGTCCTGAATTTAAATCCCTTGACCAGTTGTAACTTGACTTATCACTTTTTTTTTCAAATTCAATCACAACATTTGTGGGTGTTATTTTTAATGTAATTACAGTCTTTTAGAGGGGATGTTAAGAAATTCGTCCCTTATTTCAGAATACATAACTTGAGCAGATTAAAGAACTAGAACAGTAATTCCCAATAAAAGCAGGTGCTTCTTTTTTTGTGTGATGGCACAAGCTTATCAACCTCTTATATTAATTACTAGAGAACTAGTAATACTATAGTAATAGAGTTGAAAAGCACAGAAGATGTATACTAGTAGTATGCTTCTTCGGCACTTTCCAACAAACAAAGAAACAAACCCACCTCCATCTCTTGCTGTTGCTGATTCAGCAGACTTTGGTCCATCTCCATGGAAACTCCTGCATCCACGACCACATTCTCCTCCACACACCACTCCGTCACAGCCTCTCCAGCATTTCCTAAACCCCCATACACATCCCCATACCTCCTCCCCAACCCCTCCTCCACCCTCACTAGATAATCACTCGCACCACTCCCCACATCTGCTTGCTCTTGTACATCTTGTGTAGTTTGTCTGAAATTTGTCCACGAGTTTTGTCCCACATTCTCTCTCTCCAATGCTGGCTCAACTTTAATAAGGACTACATCTGATGATGGACTGTTTTCTAGATGCAGACCTTCATTTTCATTGCTTCCTTGGCTCAATTGTCTGGACAAGTTAGCTTGGGGAGGTTCCTCTGTACTTGTGACTGTTGCAGAGCAGTACTTTTCTGTTTGTTGTTTCTTCGCTCTCGGTTCTTCCAAGTTTTCTCCTTTCGAAGGAGTTGTCATTGCAACGCCAGAACTTGTAGCAAACTCGTTGTCTCTCTGCTTCCTTTTTTGGACTGTGGAAACAGTTAACGCTGTGCTAGATGTTGTTGCAACCATCTGGGTTCTTGAGTTTGAATTTGAGACTACTTCTGTGGGTGTTGCTGAGCTCTCGCAGGACCTACTGTCAGCTTCTGTACTAGTTCTGGGTTGTTCCTCGCTGTTCGAGCTGTTTTCTGCGGTCAAACCGCAGAACTCTCGCATAATCAGGTCAGCTAAGGTACTGATGAGGTCCTCCCGATTTGAAGAATTTTGGGCGGTGATGTTTCGTCTTCCAAGTTCAAGGACAAGTTCCTCCATGTACAGTCTTGGCAGCACGGCCAAGGTCACGACCTTTGACAGGCCGTAAGGTCGCTCCTTCTGAGACATTTTATCTGAAATCAATAAATCAAATCAATCAACAAATCAAACTTGTGCAACAGATTCAAATTATTGAAACATTGATATTTTTAACA